AACATCCCCGACCGCGTGCAGTCGGGCTTGAACCGCCCCGCGACGATGGCATCAATCATCGGGTCCAGCGCACGAAGGGCTGGAGCAACGTTGTCTCGCCCGTACACCACGTCGCTGTCGGCCCGAGATGCACTATGGTAGCCGAGAATCAAGCGAAGCTCTTTAGGCATTCCCCACTTCGCGCTCCAACTAAGCAGCGTGGCCTTCAAAGAATGCGTCCCCAAGGCCCGAACGGCAGAAGCATCAACCCCAGCCCTGTAAAGCAGGCTCCTCAGCCATCGGCCACCAGCTTCCACAGAAATGGGAGCCTCCTGCCAGCCTCCATTCTCAACAGGCGACGGCAACAAAGGCTGATCCTCACCAGACTTAGGGCCGTGTTCAAGTGCAATGTCCCACCACTTCAAGGCCCAACTGCTCGAAGTGAGGCCGTTGATCGGGGCGCACATAGCAAGATGTCTTGTTTTGCGCTCCAAAGTGTAGGCCGTCTTGGTTCTAGTAACTTTTGCTTCAAGGTAGCCGCGAGGACCATCCGAAGTCTCAGCAACATCACGAACCATGAGCCCACTGTTTTGCATGTCACTGAACCTTGCCCTTGCAAAGACAGCAAAAAGGAAACAGCCTGCTGCATAGCGATCCGCCATGCTGAAGTCACCTCTCCCATGAACTATGTCTTCGAGGGCCTCCACCATGAGCACAGACAATGGGGGCTTCTGCACAAGCTTGCGTTTCTCAAGGAAAAACCCACGAGCAGCGCCTGTCACTCGGGCAGTGAACACGTTGCCCTCGCACTGTAACCCAAGAAGATGGTGGCAAAAGGCCATCGATCCCAGGAAACTGGATGCAAATGTAGGCGCCTGTTGCGAGCAATATTCCTTCATGAAATGATACAGCAAGCCCTCCTTGACCGGGAAGGGCTCAAGCTTTCGCTCTTTGCAAAATTTCAAGAATCGCAAAACAGGTCCTGCACGGCTGTGCAGTGTGCTGCTGGCCTTAACGGCAAAGACGTCGCTCAGAATCTCATTGAGGCTGTAAGGAGCGAGATGAGGGTCGCTCTTGGCTTCACTGATCAAGTTGAAGTGAGGAGAATGAGACTCAATTATCCTCTCCCACTTAACCAAACCAGCAGTTCGATTCTCAGACATCTTTGCTCGCCAAGGCTTCCCTGAATCCTTAGCCTTTGGCCCGACATGCGACAGAGACTCTGCACCAGTATGCACCGAGGGCAAACCTTCTGGGACTGTGGCAGGAGCTGGATGCCCTGTTCGGTACTGATGTCTCGGCAGCTGTGGGAAAATCCTGAAAGGATACAAAATCGGAGATACCTCCCACGGTTGCACCTGTCGGCTCTTCGGGAATCGCAGCACTGAATCCAAGTGCTGCTCATAGGCATGCTCAGCAGATCGCTTCATGCCAGCTATAAAACCCCGATCAAGAGAAAAAGTTGGCACGAGGCGAGCTGATCAGCGCCAGAAGCAGGCGGCGAAAGGCCGCAGCAAAGTGTCACTCCAAGAAGCCTGCCCTGTTTGAGCGCGCAACAGAAGAACCTCCTGCTCAAGCTGAATAATGCGGCGCTGGCAGGCAAGAACGTGAGCACGAAGTGTCTCAAATTCACGCTCAAGTCTATAAACCTGCCGACTCACGAGTGACACAGTACTAGGGCTGTCGCCGCCTTCGTCGGAGCTATCAATCTCCGCAAA